GTTCGTTGAAAGGGCTTTTGAAGGATGAAGTTAGAAATCTCCTAATTTCTCCCCCTTCCAATTGCATTTTTATAAGCTCATCTAATTCGAGCCCAGCTGCTCCCTAGTTGTCCTGCTGTTAACAGTCACGCGCTGTGTGAACACAGCCATACACTGTGTGGTTTTGTGTGTGTACTCACAACTGTACAGGACGGCTGGATTTTTTTTCTCTTGCATGTTTTATTGAGGACCAGAGAATGAGTTTATATATATACATTTTTGTATATAATTATATATACAATATGTATACATACATATTGTATAAATTATTATTAGATGGCAGGATTTACTTGTTTACACACGTGCGATTGATGACCAGAGAATTCGTTGGTTTATATTATCAGGGATATTTATTATACATATATATATATATATGTATAATAAATATATATATATATATATATATCATCACCACATATATATTATATATTATATTATACATGTACATACTTATTGTATGTATATGTATATGTATTATATATTGATCGAACAAAATTTTTCAATGGAGTTGGGAGATCGAATGCCAGGCTTGCGAAAAATATTTTAGTATATAATTAAAAGTGATATATTAATATTTCTATATACATAAGTCCGTCAATAACGAGACTATTTCGGCGTCACTCCGGGACGGAACAATCTTATATATTATATTATTATTTTAATATTATATTATTAGTTTATATATTACAATATTAGTTTGTATTATGTATATACAGTTGTGTGAGAGGGAAAAGATATAAGTTATTCTGAGTCATGCTTTTGTACGCCAACCTCGTAAATAAATTAGGGATGAGGTACAAAAAAGACACTTTTATATTTATTATGATAATGCTACTGAGATTAGCTTCAGCTATTAAAATGTTCTAAGATTTAATAGCCTATTGAAATAGTCAACTAATATAATATATTAAAATTTATATATCTATTATACAAATACATAATATAATATATAACATAACATAACGATAACACATTTCTAGTAATTAATATATTATTAACGCTCATTGTCAAGTTAAAAGATTGTGATCTGTACTTCATGTACAAAATTTTTGTGTATAAATGTTTTGGGCAATGAATGTGTACATGTACGTTCACCATGGTTGACATGACGCTCATTGTATGTTTACTTGGTTGCAGGAATCCTGGTTGTAGCTGCAACCAAGAAGCCACAACCAAGAGGCCACATAGTGTCTTATCGTCAGTATATCGAGTAATATTCAAAGTAATGTCGTCATTAGGTACACTCTCCGATATATACGCTCTCCAGCTATATACGCTCTCCGATACCTCGTTATCTTCCACCCCATTAGTCATTGTATTTGCGTTGTTGTCAACATTGCTTCATTTCTTGATGTCAACGTCGTTATTTTTTATTTAGCTGTTACTTAAGCTTTTATTTTTGTCGTAAAAATCATCTTGTTTTAACACTTTGACTCCGATTGCTTCATTTTGTACTATTATTTCATTTTTTTGTACCATTTTTAAACAGGGTTGCCAGATGGTCCTTTTTTTCGGACAAATTCCGTGATTTAGTTTTTCACAATTTCGTTGGCCGGCTAAAATTTATGATAGGGGTACTTCCGAATTAAATTTTAAGTACTGCAAAAAGAAAATAAATGGAATTTTTATAGCGGAATCCACAAATAAACTAGTATATATTGAGTTATCGGCCTTTTTTGGCCTTTTTTGTTCTCGGATTTGGCCGATTTTAGGCAACCTGAATTATGTACCACTACGTCCTGGAGAAATACATTTCGTGGTACGCATATGTACCACTTCGTAGTCAACGTGTTAAATGATGCTGAAATTCTCATAAGAAAGCAATATGTTTTACTATAAAAATGTCAATAACGCAACTGGTTATCTGACCTTCGCATCGTAATTGCCATGCGGGTCCACATGGCTCATATTTTTCTCTCTGTATAAACTGTACGTATCGTACTTGTTATATAAGTGAAGTCTCGAAACTAATATCATTTATTTAAGCGATAACATATGAAAACATTAAATTTGATTTCTATTATAATGAGGAAAACTGATGGCAACCGGAATAACATTAAAGAATAAGTTTAGAAAATTTTATTTCCGACACGTAGCGTGTGTGCGTGTAGCGAGCTGTTGCCAGCACGCAGCGTGTGCGTGTAATGAGCTGTTGCCAGCACGCAGCGTGTGCGTGTAGCGAGCTGTTGCCAGCACGCAGCGTGTGCGTGTAGCGAGCTGTTGCCAGCGCGCAGTGTGTGCGTGTAATGAGCTGTTGCCAGCACGCAGCGTGTGCGTGTAGTGAGCTGTTGCCAGCACGCAGCGTGTGCGTGTAGTGAGCTGTTGCCAGCACGCAGCGTGTGCGTGTTTCCTTCTGTGTGTGCGTGTCGGCTACGGCGTGTGCGTGTGTCTGTGGCGGGAGATGTCGTGGATCAATACGCCTGCTCTCTCCCCTCTCCCTCTCTCTCTTCTCCCTCTCTTCTCTCTTACATGTTCCTCTCTTTTCTCTTTCTTTTTAATCTTTTCACTCTCTTTTATCTTTCTTTTGTACCCTTTTCCTTCTCTTTGCCTTCTTCATATCTCTCTCATCTCCTTCTCTTTCCTCTCATCTCTCTTCTCCCTCTCTCCATCTCGCCCTCTCTTTTCTTGACGCATCTTTCTCCCTCTCTCACTCATCTTTACCATTCATTTACCCTCAGTTTTGCTCCACTCACTCTTAAATTAGCACAACTTCTGCTGAGCTGAAACGCCACTCTTAACTAGGATCGGCTAGTGACTAGTTACTTATTGGCGCATATAGGGGCTTAGTAACTTGCTTATTGGCGCATATAGGGGCTCAGTAACTTGCTTATTGGCGCATATAGGGGCTTAGTAACTTGCTTATTGGCGCATATAGGGGCTCAGTAACTTACTTATTGGCCTTGTTTCGTTTATATTTAACTTTTTTATTTATTCACACATTTTATGTTCTTCGTTACTAGGTACTCACTTGCAGTTGCATTTGAGGTCCTTATTGTATTAATCATTCATGAATTTGAGTTGCGTCACGTCTGTCCCTGAGTGTGCGCGTGAATCTCTTGCGCTTTAGTTAGTTTGTTTAACATTAAGTTAATAGGCGCAGCTTGTCTCTGTAGGCTTGACGCGCGCGTGTTGACGTTATGATGGTGATATATATTGCTGGTACTGCTGCTGCTGTGGCTGTGTGATGCTGCTGCCAGTGCTGCTGCTGTGGCTGTGTGATGCTGCTGCCAGTGCTGCTGCTGTGGCTGCTGCTGCTGTCCACAATGCTGTGGCGTGCTGCCACTGCTATCCAGTGCTGGTGCTGCTCAGTACGGTGCATTATACAGCACGACATCAACATTATTAAGCACGACACTGCACATTATTCAGTACGACATTGCACATTATTCAGCACGACACTGCACATTATTCAGCGCGACACCAACATTATTCAGCACGACACTGCACATTATTCAGCACGACACTGCACATTATTCAGCANCTGCCGCCGCTGTTGCCGCTCGTCTTTAACGCGAGTGTGGTGAGGTCTGGGCGTGGCTTACATCACCTGCATCTCCTGCATCACATTTATCACTAGCAACACGACCTGCATCACCACCTGCATCACCTCCTGCATCACCACCTGCATCATGCATCAAGCCATGCATACTAACGCGTGCACTATTTTCTCAATACCGCAAATCTCGGTCGCAGGAATCGAATGTCAACAACGCGCTCTGTTTTTTTTTTCGTGCAGGTAAAATGACGCCCGGTCGTGTGTGGAAGCAATTTAAATTTATTGTATTAACCTCGTTTTACTACGTGAGATCTTCGAATTTGTTATTTTTGAGGAGTTTGCTTGTTGGAGCTAAAACTGAAAACACACAACTGACAAGACAACACAACACAACTGACAATGGACAATACAATTAACACACAACTGACAAGACAACACAACACAACTGACAATGGACAATACAATTAACACACTACTGACAATAGACAACACAACACAACTGACAATGGACAATACAACACACAACCGACAAAAGACAACACAACACACAGCTGACAATAGACAACACAACACACAGCTGACAATAGACAACACAACACACAACTGACAATAGACAACAAAACACACTACTGATGGCACAGTCACGTGTAATCAAGGTGTATGAGAAGTTCTTAGCCAGAAAGTCAGTACAGTACCTGCAGTAAGCCGACATTTTTAGTAAACGAAAATACAGTTTCTGATGAAATTGCTCGCACTTTTTCCAGTTACTGGAGAATCACCACGAATTTTTTTCCGAGTTGGAGGAGAGGGCCGACGTCGACGTTGTGAAATTGGACTTTGTGAAAGCTTTTGACAAAGTTGACCATGGAGTGCTCTTCAGAAAACTAAGATTACTGGGAGTTCGAGGAAAGTTTTTCGGGTGGATTCACAACTTAATATCTGACAGGTCACAAGTTGTCGGTGGTGAAGGTTAAAGATCAAGCGAGACGAGGGTGAAAAGTGAGGTGACTGGGAACGGTACTTCGTCCGATCCTTTTCCATCATTTACGTATCTGACATACACGTTGATATGAGTCGCGTCTCGACTTCGTCATTAGTGGACGATTATATTGCTCTTGACGATAACGAACCGGGCAGGAACGAGGCTGTTCAACGTACTGTTGATAGAGAAGTGGAAAGTCCACCCTGGAGACAACATATACCACTGACGACAGACAACACAACACAAAAATGACAACACAAAAATGACAACACAAAACTGACTACACGGAACTGTTGAAACTAGTGACAACACTAGTTAGAACACCAGGTTTAACACTAGTGACAACACCAGGTATAACACTAGTGATAACACCAGGTATAATACCAGGTATAACACCAGGTATAACACTAGTTATAACACCAGGTATAACGCCAGGTATACCGCCAGTTATAACACTAGTGATAACACTGCTTTACGTTACAGGGGCGCATTCTCGGTGGTGCGGCGCTGCGTGCAGAAGGCCACGGGCCTTGAGTTCGCCGCTAAAATCATCAACACCAAGAAACTTTCAGCTAGAGGTGAGATTTGTTATATATTAACCTAAATTTATTATATTACATTTGTTAAATAGCTTGTAATGAATTATAATGCCACAGTAGCTAAAATACAGTATTATTAATTCATGGAACCTGTTGATGTGTTACCACTAAGCTAACTAATTCGTTTTGCGCGCGCGTTAGTAACGTGTTCAAAACACGTCAGCGCGCGTTAGTAACGCGTTCACGACACGTCTGTAACGCGTTCAAGACACGTCAGTAACTCGTTCAAGACACGTCAGTAACGCGTTCAAGACACGTCAGTAACGCGTTCATGACACGTCAGTAACGCGTTCA